GCGATGTCCTGAGGCTGAGGGGCAAGCACGACCGGCAAGGGTTGGGAGTGCACAGAGCATAAAAATAATAGTACAGTAGTAATAGTAGTAGTAGTAGTAGTAGTAGTAGTAGTAGTAGTAATAGAAGTAGAAGTAGAAGTAGTAGTAGTAGTAGTAGTAGTACTAGTAGTAGCAGCGCCGCTTGTTGTGAATCCGCCCTCAGGGAGTCCTATGAAACCGAAACCTAAAGCCCTGAAGATAGTCTCAGGGATTTTCCTTGCCGGGATATGTAAGCACTTTCGGAGAATCTCACCCTAAACAGCCTGCAAAACCTTAAAACGCACTGAACCTCCTGACACCCACGGAACCTGCTGCGATCAAGAACAATATTGCCAAAGCTACTACAAGAAACCCTAACATCCCGAAGACATCCTAAAATCAGCAAGCCATCAACCTCCCATCCCAACGAAACTATATAGTTTCAATGACAACTTGACATGTTGTGAACTTGTTATTAACAGTACAACAAACATCCCGATAACATCAGATTTTGCACCAAGAAGCTGTGGCATTTACTTGGTTTTTCACAGGTTGCATGTTATAAAATGTCCATAAACCAGGGATGATGGCCACATGCTGCATTGACTCGGCGTTTTGGATCGGGCCACGGCTTCTGAGGTACAGCCCTACCCCGGTGAGGGGACAAACCGGCCACGACTTCCATCTCTTCATGTGGATAGTTCTCTTTTTTGGGGTCCCTTTTTAGACCCCCAATATAGTACGGCACCCTTAGAAAAAAGGATCCCCAAAAGGGGCCTTAATTTAGAGAACTACCCATGTGGCCCCTAAACCCTAAACCCTAAACCCTAAACCCCGATCCCCTGTCGCGGACGAGGCGCCAGGCTCCCGGTGGACTGGCTCCGCGGGATCGGCTCTGGCGAGTCGCAGCGCGACTTACCTTGAGAGGCTTCGGGTTTCGACTTCAGGGCCCTTGGGGATTGCAGTTAGGGTTTAGGGTTTAGGGTTTAGGGTTTAGGGGGGGGGTTTAAGGGATGACGTACCTTGAGAGGTTAAGAGGCTTTAGGTTTCGACTTGAGGGCTTCGGCATTGCAGTTCGGGATTATTGGCCTGGTCCTACAAGTGAGTTTGGGGTTCGGGCCTTCAGGTTTCGGGTTCCTGGGATGGTCGAGTTTAGGCTTGGAGAGGTTTGGTGTAGAGCTTCGGGTTCGGATTTGGGCTTAAGGGTTAAGTTTTGGCTTTCTGGGGCACGGGTGCGGTGATCTCGGGTCAAGGGTTGTAACCAACAAGCGTCCGCAGCCATCAACATTGCCTTTGCTCTTCAATGATCTTACTCTGGCAATGCCCATCGAGTGCATGACGCAGGTGCCAAAGGGTTCGTGCAGTCGGCTTGAAACGGTGAGATGCAAACAGCACACGAGCCACGTGAGTGTGTGGCTCCTCTCATGCAAGCGATGCTGCTCAGACTAAAAATAAAAGAGATTAAATAATTAAATAACTTATAGATGATTATAATTAACTATAAGCTCTAAATCCAAGGAAAACAAGGCTATAAACTCGCCTTCAAATGTGTTCACGGGAGCCAGTGCTACATCCTTCCTGGGCATTCGTCGATCGGCAGCCTACCTTGCTGTGACCGCCTTTGGCAAATTTTGGTGCCGACGAGTAAGATCCGGTGTTTGCGGTTTAAGGCTTACGCGTGAAAGGACCTGGAATAGTTGTGCAATACAGCTCCTCCAATATCTCCTCAAACTGTCAAACTAGAAAGTGCTCGGAGGCCCTCTATTTTACGATGCCGTGTCCCATGCTACTGCCTCCGTTATTCAAGCTTGCAAGGCATCCACAATCTAGCTTAGACCTCCGTCATGTATGGTTGCGGGGTAGTTCTAGGAACCCAGAGAAGGAACTTTCTCATGGTCTTCACAACCCTCGCAACACCTAGTATAGAGACCTTAATAATTACCTCTACTATTTTGAGGGGTTCCTTATGTTTTATTATGGTATAGTTTACCCCAAAACCCTATTCCAATCTTTACGGCCTCTATATTAAGCTTGATCCTTGGGAGTTTCCAACTTTGGTCCCCAAACAGCGACATCATCACCCTGAGCTAGACAGCCCTTCTCACCACGAACCGACACTGTCTGGCGGCCGCCCCCGAAGGACCACTTCGGAGGATGGTGGTAAGATGGGGCCACGCCCTGCAGCTTTTGGATTCTGGCTTCACATCGGGTTTTGTATCTTAGCGGTGTAGAGCGCAGGTGGGCGGGCACATTGTGTCTGGATCCCTGGGCCGGTTTAGTCTGTTCTAACGCTTGTGGGATGTCGGCAATAACAAACCAGATCAAAGGCCGAAAAATCTTGAACAGAAATGTTAAGAAAAACAACACCTGCCGCCGCTCCCACTCTGCTCACTGATGTGCGACCGATCGTTGGACGTACCAAAAACCGGAAGCCACCAAGTCCGAAATGTCCCGTAGAGCCGTGAACCGAAAAGAGAAAGCCCAAGAAACCCGCCACACCGCAACTCTGTGTTCCCCGCCTGTCCCAGCGTTTTCGCTGGCGTGTATGCCTTCGCCTGTCACATCTGCAGCAAGTAGCCAAGTGCAAGAACCACGTTTAGGGTTTAGGGCTGAAGGTTTAGGGTATAGGGTTTAGGGTACAATAACCTTAAACCCTAAGCCCGAAAACATACAACGAGGACCACCAAAAATCCCCCGGCCATGAGGTCATGGGTTCCTTGTCAGTCGCCATGCTCGCACGTAATCATGCACGCTTTGGCGCCTGCTCTTCCGGGATACTGCCCTTGGGGTTCAAGATGTTTAAGGTAGGGTTTAGGGTTTAGGGTTTAGGGTTCAGGATTTAGGGTTTAGGGTTCTGGGGTAATGGTCTTGGATTTGGTAGTCTAAAGTCTTGGGTGGGGCCCTATGTCACGGCTGCTCTGGCTGCGAGTTCACGATTTTTATCACACTTCCTTTCGGCTCTGGGGCAGCTCCCGGATGCTCAAACAACATCCCGCCCCAAGACCGCCCAGATCTATCTTAGACTTTTACGGTTTAGGGTTTAGGGTTTAGGGTTTATTACCCTCAATCCAAAACCCATGGCCGGCTGACCTGGGCCTCTCTGGTAGAATGGCTCGGGTAGTTCTCTAAATTAGGGTCCCTTTTAGGGTTCTTCCATTTTGGGGATCTAAACAGGGACCCTACCCCGTTACGAAGCAGCCCCGCAGAGGCGGAAGATGCGAGAAGAAGCCCGCAAAGACGTCTGAAGCGGGCCAGGGCAAGAGAGCAACGGAGCTCATGTCAGCAGAACCTGGGAAGTCCCCAGAAACCCGAGATCTGGCACACATACAGCAAGTACAGAAATCCTCTATACAGCGCATCACTCGCCGGAAACTAAAACGAAGCCTCAAAGCATTCCCAAACCTCTCTGCTTCAAAGCCTGCCCTCAAATCCCAAACTAGCATTAAACCCTAAACCCTAAACCCTAAACCCTAAACCCTATACTAGCTGTTGAAACCTTGAGCTCACACCCGAACTCAGCGCTGTCGCCTTCGGCTCCCCCGAAGGCAGCGGCGGAGCTAAGCTGGCCCTTTCCTGAGCGCTAGGAGGGTTTCAGTTTAGGGTTTAGGGTTTAGGGTTTAGGGTTTAGGGTTTAGGGTTTAGGGCGGTTGGATGAATTTCGGAATGTAAACCTAAATACATCACTGGCCTGACGCCTTCAGATGGGCGGCGCTGGAGCTATCGAGCCTTGCCACGCAGTTGCCGAAGTACTGCCCGAGGTATCTGGGCCTGCATCTGCGGAAGATGGACGAGCAGTACTAAACATATTATAGGGGAAAAATATTTTTTCCCTACAATATGTTTAGTGATCTCAACATTTGTGAATACTTCGTGCCAAGATTCTTGCTAGAAGCTAGGGCTCCTCCATGCCGTGCGGGCTACTCAAGGCTGGTGCCTCCTCTGCACTTCGGAGCTCCCCGCCCTCTTCGAGGGAGTTCAGGGCTTCCGGGCTTCGGTTCTAAGGGGCTCCGAACTGCTTCTGAGAAGAGCTCCGGGTTCGGGGACTTAGGATTTAGGGTTCAGGGTTTTCAGATTGAAGGCTTTAAGGCTCTTTAGGGATTGACTGGTTTTTCGGTTCAGGGGCTAAAAGGGTCCCCAAACCCTTAACCCTTAACCCTAAACCCTAAACCCTGAACCCTAAACCCTAAGCCCTAAACCCTGAACCCTAAACCCTGAACCCTAAACCCTAAACCCTGAACCCTAAACCAAAAAGGGTCCCGTGATGCTTCTTGCTTGCAGCGACCCCGCAGCCGCCTCGTGGTGGCTGCCGCCGCCGGCAGCTCCGGGACTTCGTCCACGACGTCAAAGCCTCCGGGCGCTTTTTGCAGGTTTAGGGTTTTTTTTTAAATGTAGTTTAGGGTTTAGGGTTTAGGGTTTAGGGTTTTAGGGTTTAGGGTTTTAGGGTTTAGGGTTTTAGGGTTTAGGGTTTAGGGTTTGGGGTTTGAAGCAGATTCAGACGAGTCTACGGCCTAGGGCCCAAGAAGGCAGACTACAGGCACGCCCTGTAGACGAGAGCCCTCAAACACCCCTCCAGCCCAAACTCCCACACCCTCAGATTAGGTCCATCACGACTCCTCAGACACGCATTCCGTCGCTGCACCCCCTCACCTAAACCCTAAACCCTAAACCCTAAACCCTAAACCTCAAACCCCCAGTGTTTCCCCGCAAACCCGGCCTTCGTCATCTTGTGGAAGAGGCTCGGGCTCCTCACCAGCAGGCTCAAACCCCTAACACAAGGGCCTCTTTTCATGTCTGGCAAAGGGCTTCGGGGCATATTTAAATTCCGCCCCTCGTATAAAATTCTATTAAATCTTAAAACTGAACCCTGAACCCTAAACCCTGAACCCTAAACCCTAAACCCTAAACCCTCCAACCCTAAACCCAAATCTAAGGGTAGGGTTCGGGGCCCCGAGCCCGGGGCCCGAGGTGCCCGGACCAAGGAACCCAACTTCTGGCGGCTCTTTGCACTTTTAAGGCTTAAGGGGTTTGGGGTTTAGGGTTTAGGGTTTAGGGTTTAGGGTTTAGGGATTAGGGTTTAGGGATTAGGGTTTAGGGTTTAGGATTCAAGCCCTCAAAACGAACCTGTGTTTAGTTTAGGGCCAGGCATGCTCAAGAAGGATCCCTCGCCAGCTAAACTGTACACCCCGGAACCCCAGGCCACTTGCGGGCTGGAGTCCTTTACAGGGCCACGTGGCGCCAAAAGCCCCAGGCCCTCGAACCCCCGAAATTCCCCACCGTCGCGAACTGGAAAACCCCACCCTCCCGAAACCCTCAACTTGAAAATTTCGGACCAAACGTCCTGAAGCACGATATCCCGAAACCCCAACACCCCCGAAACCATGAAATCCACAGGGCACCCCACACACACACACACATGCCTTCCTGGAGACCCAATTGGATATCGGTGAAGTCCGAGGCCTTGAGAATGCCAAAGCCCCCGCATACCTCCCTGGACCCTGAAACCCTGAAGCCCTGAAGGCAAACTGGCCCCGGCCTCCTGACGGCAAAACCCGCAAAACCTAAACCCTTAACCCCAAACCCTAAACCCCAAACCCTAAACCCTAAACCCTATAGCCCAGAAGAAGAAACGAAGAAAAGGGTCGCCTAGTAACCCGGGCTCCTGGGTGGCAGCGAAGAGTGGCGTGTCGAAGGCTGATGCCGATACTGATTCCGGGGCCTGGTCGGTCTAGGGTTTATAGGGTTTAGGGTTTAAGGTTTTCGGGGCCCCGGTTGAGACTTTGATTACGGCTCAGGGGATGTGGGGGTTTAGGGCTTTTTTGGGTTTAGGGTTTAGGGCTTGGGGCATGAAAGTCTCGGGTCGGGTGTACTTGCCTTGGCGTTAAGGTTGTCGCGTTCCGCGAAGTTTTGCAAGGGAGGTTCTTGGGTTCAGTCGGATTGGGGTTCAGGCATTAGGATTCGGGCTTGCCGGAGCCGGAACTTGGGCAACCGGGCTGTGGGACTTGCCCAAGTAACCGGGTCCGGAAACCCTAGCCTCAAACCCTCAAACCCCAAACTCCAAACCCTCAAACCCTAAACCCTCAAACCCTGAACCCTAAACCCTGGCCCTCAAACCCTCAAACCCTGAACCCTGGCCCTCCAAACCTCAAACCCTAAACCCTGGCCCTCCAACCCTCAAACCCTAAACCCCAAACCCTCAAACCCTGAACCCTACAACCCTCAAACCCTCAAGCCTCAAAACCCCCAACCCCCAAACCCCGAGACCTCCCAAACTGGAGATCCGACTCCTGCGGGCCTTGGCCGGAATTGGCTTCCTGGCTCTTGCAGGCCCATAGCCTCGGCAGGAGGCTTCAAAAAACGATGTTGGAGAACCGGGTTTTGGGTTTCGGGTTTAGGGTTGAGGGTTTTGGGTTTTGGGTTTCGGGTTTCGGGTTTAGGTTTTCGGGTTTAGGAAAAAGCTCCAAACTCCGAACCCTCAACCCGGAGCCCGATGTTTCTGACTGTTGCTACTCTTGCTGCTGCTGTACCGGTGCTAAGGACAGCAGGATGTAATCATTCCTGTTACGGCTAAAGATACCCTTACTGTTACTAGTTACTGCGGCGATGATTGCCACTGCAACTGTATCTGCTACGGACACAAATACCACTGGTACGACTGGTACGAATAGTAATCAATATTTGAACCAACACAGCTTGGGGCTTCTGCTGGAACCCCACCGTGGCATAACGAAACGGGCTAAGGCTTGCTTTTGAGGCTTAGGAGTAGTGAAAGAACGTTTTGAAAGTAGCTGCATAATCTGCATCATAACATCTGTCTTCGCACCCTGGAAAGAAACCCAAACAGCGACTGTCCTGCGGCTCACAAACCGAACTGTCTCGTGTTCAGGCACGAGCCAAGATGTCTAGAATCTGACGATTCACGATGAGGCTCTAGCTTTGGGGTCAAGGGTTTAGGGTTTAGGATTTAGGGTTTAGGGCTTAGGGTTCAGGGCTTAGGGCTTAGGGTTATATTAAGGCCTCAAGACATTCCACCGGTTTAGGGCGTTCTGCTTACACTGCCATCAATGCCGGTGCCTGATACTGATACCCTTCAAACAGAGCTTGGGCCAGAGAGGCTTCGTGGAGTCGCCCCATGGCTAGGGCACTTCTGTGAAGAATTGTCGACGTATTCAGGCCCAGGGTGTAGGGTTCTGGTGTTTAGGGTTTAGGGTTTAGGGTTTAGGGTTTAGGTGTGTCTTCCGATGGCGCTGATTGACTGCGTTTCCGTGCCGTCCAGCAACTGATGGTGCCCCCACGGGTGCAGTGCGACAGCGCCTGGGAGCGTGGCAGGTCCAAGGGTGAGGCCCGTTTAGGCACAGGGCTTCGGAGAAAGGATCTGAAGATTAGGTGACATACGACTCTTAGATTGTCGAATGCTCTAAAGATCCCCGTGCCCTCCCCCTGTGGATTTGAAGAAACCGACTCAAATGCTCCCGGTGCAGCTCCACGGAAGCCGACTCTAAACAAAAAAACGCCAGCACAAGTATACGACCGAAATATTTAAGCCTTAGCTATCTGAATTTCCACGAAAGCCGACTCTCGACAAAAACACGCGAGGACAAGTATACGACTGAAATATTAAAGCCTTATGAATCTGAACCCCATACCAAGAAACTCCTTTAAAGGCCCTGTTAAAAAATAAGCTACGCTCTGTGGCTTGGGAGGCTTCGCATCGAACATGAGCCACGGCCGGGTCGCACTCAAGCGGTCGCCCGGGGCCATATCCTTTGTGGAGCTTTGTGCTTTTGAGCCGACCCGAAATTGGAACTTTCAAGAATGCGATAGTAACTGTAAGAGTATTTCTGCTCCTGTTGCTATCACGGCAACCAATCTTCGGTTTGCAACTCCATTCATTGTTGTTTTTACCATGCTGTCGACGCTGGAGCTTTTTTGCAGCTTACCGCCATGCTGAGGCAACTTGCCTAAGGGCTATGGCAACACAGTTGTTGCGGCTGGTAGCTATACTGCTGAAACCATAGTTATATCCAGCCACTACACAGTCGCCCTTTCCATCAGCATTGATACTGGTATCAGTCGTACAGATACTGTCATGCCTAGTTACGGTTTCTAGTGAGCATCGGCTGCTGTCTCCGCTGAAAAACAAACACTATACGACATCTCTGCACATGTGGTCCATTAGCTTGGGACCTGTTCATTGTGAGATGCTATCACTGCATGTATTGTTGTTAAGATGCTCGTCCTACGTCCCAAGAGCAGAGACCTTATTTGCAAGGATCTCGAACTCGCACAGAAAAAGAACCCTATACCCTAATACCATCTGACTGCAGCGAAGGCACCGCGAGAAGTGTCGCCGAGGCGATTCTCACTTTGAGTTACCAAGTCCAGAAGGGGGCGGTTAAGGGTTTAGGGTTTAGGGCTTGGGTTTTAGGTTCAGGTGGGTTGCAGGTTCACCCAGATAGCTTTTTGTGGGCTTACCTGTCGAACAAGCTTTTGAGGTCTTTAGGACGATTTGGGCTTTTCGGGCTCAGGTAGGTCGCTTTGCACAAAACGGTTCAGGAGTCGAGAGCTTGCCTCCTAAAAGCTTTAAAGCAAAAGAAGATACAGCTACTGAATAATTAGAATCAGGTTTTGGGCTCCTTTATAGTATTATATTCAGGAAACTTAAGGAGTACTATTGCTAATTATCTAGGCTTCTATATTAACGTGTCGCTACAGCCCTGGCACTTTGGCCGGCGTCGCCATTCAGCGAACGGAAGCCAAAGCTGAGGGCGAGTCATCAGACAGTTCCAAGAGCGCTTCGGTGCTTTGAGGCAGCTCAGTTATGCGCTTAATTGTGTCAGTCGTCAAGTCACGAAACACAAACTGCCGTCACAGAACATCAGCGATCGGACCTGATTCGTCGGGTAAGAACCATCGGACCCTCGCACCGAACCCAAAATGATGGTCGGATACTTCCAAAGCGCATGCAAGTATGGGCTGGAAGACGCAAAGCTTGAGGAAGCTGGAGCACAATCAGGCAGAAGCACGCATTTGGCGACTATAGAAGTCCCAAGTCAAACAGCTGCGGGTTTCAGGCGTTCGTGGATGAGCGCGTCATGAGATGTTGACACTCACGTTCACCACAAGTAAGTAGTCGGCATCACGGGGACAGGCAAAAAGCCGATCTCCCACGACGACAGCACCTGACCACCTCTGCTGAGCTCGCTCCCCTGTACTGAGGCCATATGCAAGACTTGTTGTCAAATCAACGATGAGGAGAGTCTCCGTTTCATCTGGAATTCCATACAGGCGGCTGCCGACGGCCACGATGTCACTCCACTTGTTCTTGCCATGTGCCACCAAGCGCGTGTCGATGCTATCAAGCGTCTTGGCAGCTATGTTGACGACGAGCAGCCTGCAGGGCCCACAAATTTGTCGAATGCCCTATTCAAAAGGAACCGAGTAACTTAAACGCGGCAATCCATGCTGCAATATTCCATCACACAACGATGCATTACTTCCCGCACCCCTCCTGTCAGCGTTGCTTGGAGCAGCATAGAGTCGATCCTGGACATGGACCAATCCACTCCACTTCTTAGGACCTTTCTCATACAAATCCTCAGTGCTGATTGTGGAGATGTTTCCTCAGCTGACATCAGTGCCCATAGGCTCACTCTCGAGCTTCTGAGACTACTGTAGGGGACATGACAGGTTTCTCGTACAGTTAAAGTCCGCACAAACTACAACAACCCATTCAGCGAGTCTCTCGTCAATGTGTCTATGACCAGCACATGGTCCGCACTGTAGGGCGTAGCGAAGAGCTCTCCGTTCACCACCAAGCAACCCCAAAACTTGATTTTCTCCAGGTAACCACCGTGCAAGTTGGGGCTGTATGTGGAGATGTCTATCCATGAAAAGTTGCCCAAGGAAAGGCTATGCACCACCACATAGTGCGACTGCCCGGGAACCATGTACATGTAGTCATTCGCAAAGGCAAGGCTGGTCCATTTGTCGCGGGCGCTACTTTCGTAAACAGAACCGTCCTCATCAAGGATCTTCATTCTGGTAAGATCTTTGGTGGTTGCATCTATCACCAGAACGTCCGTAGCATCACGGGGTGCAGCATAAACTTTGCCCTCGAAGGTCACGGGATTCTGCCACTTGTCTGCACCCATTGTGGCTAATTTTATTGGTTGCTGCCCACCACCCCCCCCACTGGAATGAACGTAAACTCGGTCAATTGCTAGAGGAGAACTTCCATTCAGGTCTACTACAAGCACTGTGTTGGCTGACTCAGGCACAGCAAACAGATGGCCATCAACGGCAGCAATGCCTGACCATTTAGATGCCGAGCCTGAGATGTGATCAGAGCGGAGCTTTGAAGTCACGTTATCGCAAACTCCCGCACTGGCCTCCAGATTTGTCGGTAGTTCTAGTTTCTGTCCGAACCGCCACGCCTCCGAACAACTGGGAGCCTCACAAAAACAAATTTGGGAAGACTTGTGGTGCCATTCGAAACGATATGTGCCGGAATTGTTTGAGGGTGGGCTGACTGCCAAAGCGGTATGATTATGCCAGTCGTGTGGCCAGCCCTTGGCCTCCGGATCACCGCATTCAACTGTTGTGGGCAGCAGTATGGCACTGTCGTCTGCAGTGAAATACTCACCGCTCAAGTTTACGTAGATGGCAACGAAGCCGGGAACGAGCATACGACGTCTTCCCTTCTGGAGCTGCTGCTTCAATCCGCATTCGAAAGCCGTGTGTGTGTAGTTCTTCAGGATTCCTGGACCGATGCGCGGGTGCTCATCATCCACATTCAACCAACTGGATTTGTTGTGGATCTTCTCAGCCTTGTCATGCATCCGAATCAGCTCGTCCACCCCGGCCGGGTATGAGAAGGGAGGAAATTGCTGAAGGTAGGGAGCTGACAGAGGCAGGTGTTCTGGCAGCTCTGCCAAGAACTTGGGGTGGATGTTGACGCCATAGAAGCCTGTCTCGTTGATTTCATGTTGAATCCTGTCTTTTAAGATGGCTGGCCAGCTGAAAAGATTCATCTCTTGCTCCATGATCCAATCCAGGAACTTCTGGCGCTGCGGAAGGAGGACTTGCTCGAGGTATTCGCTCTTGTTGGCGACGTGGGGCAGGAAGTTGAAGACAAGGTCTAGGTGCTTGTACAAGTGGATGCCAAAGGAACGGCGCAACTCCTTGATCATCAGCTGCCTCATGGACGCCCCACGCTGCCAGGCAGCGTTCAGCACCCACACGATCCGGTCGACTCGCTGTCGCGTCGCTCTAAGCTTTGCCATTGTATTGTTCCAAAGTTCCTTGTCTTTTTCGTCGCCTCGTGTGTCACCCCTTCCGGGCGTGTCAATCCATCGCAATAAGCGGTAACGCTTGTCCTTGAATGGCAAACGATCTAATATCGTGACATCACTGGTGTGAGGCATGGTTGAGCTGGGAGAGCATGCCTGCTCATCCCCCGTCATCCAGTGGCACAGTTCAGACTTTCCTGTGCCAGTCAATCCAACTGCGACAAAGGTCAGCATGTTGTCCGCGTCTTCGAGGCCATGTGAAGCAGCACTCTGGTCATCGTAGGCCTGCTGAATCAACTTGTTTCGCTCACGAATAGCAACCTCATACTCGTGCTGAGCTTCCGCAGCTTCACTGTTCACATGCCACCCTGCCAGAGCATCTCTTCTTGCTTGCGTGGAAATTTGTCGCGCCAGCTCTGCTAGCCTCAAGGGTCAAACTGAAATAGCTCTTGCTAAAGCGGCCGTGCCGGACGAACTAGAAGGGAAGCGGGAGAGGCTAACAAAAATAAATAGACGAGTGAAGGCATAGGGCAACGACAATGACAATGACATCACACCCGTGCCTCTGCTCAATGCTGAATACATTGACCTGGACAGTGTACGTTGAGTTCCAACCACTCGCGGGATGCTGTGTCGCGCGAAAAACCAAGAGAACCACGATGTCGAAGGGACCACCGCCGGCATCGGTACCAACGATGCCATGGTTGAAGCTAACCACACCCTTGGCCCGGGAAACCTGAACTGGACTTCTCACGTGTCTGCATCTCAGGACGAGGACGCAGCATCGAAAGAAGAACACGTCAATGACGAAATACAAATCCCCGAAAAGACACTGTGTCTCAAGAGACTGTCACATTGCTTGAGCAAGATCGAAAATTTGGCAGACGGTAATGCTGGTGGCACACTGCTTCTGAATCGATGCGCCTTCAAGAAACGGGAATACGCTGTAGCTCTCTTGTGCAACTGGCAGATACAACTTCGCTTGCCATTGATCTGGGTCCACAGCAAGTAGATGCTCTAGATGATGCGAGAGACCCATCGAGGTGAGATTAGTCTATCACATGTACCGAGATAAGTTTGGGACACCTTCAAGCGTCAGACTGCCATTTGCATCCAAGCCACTGGGATTGGCTGACAAGACCCAGGCTGATGTCTGCAGAGCTGCACAGTCGAGTCCAAACCAATATGGGTCGGGTCCCAGCTTAACGTAGCAGAGAAGCATAGTTCTCGGGACCGTGAAGGCAATGGGAGGCTGGAATCGTACAAGTGCCTTTCGACTTCGAACTCCTGGAAGCTAGCGGTGGCTCCTGAAGGTTCAGAGGTCGTTTATATTCAATTGTGGCACTGCTCAAAGTTACAGCTAAGCCATAATGCTTGCCGAGCGTCTGCCAAGCTGCAAGGACATGTTGAGGCTACGAGGCGCTAGTACCGTGAACTCGTACTTTCGCTGGCGAAGGCCCTGGAGAATCAAGGAACATGTGCCGAACTCATGCTGGGCAACACGTCCGTTCATGAGCGTCCTGTCAGATCTTTGGTGCTTTGGAACAGGCTGTGTAGCACAAGGCGTGGAACTGCAACAAAACCCAAATCTTGCGGCTTGTCCAAGATCCATCTCGAAATCAAACGAGACAGCTGCTGTCCATTCCTCACGCAAAATCACGTAATGGTGCGAAGCCCAAGGATCGAAGCTTGGATGTATGTTCCCACCGACTGCATCACAAAGCTGCAGCTGCGGCGTCTGCAACATGCAGTAGCTCACCAAGAAGGTCGGCACTCCAAAGCTCAGCAAACTCAACGCAGCTACCACTACAGCATGTGCACCTCGTAGAAGTGGAAATGTCGGGAACGCCTGCTGCAACAAGTCCTGACGTCTTCGAAGCAAGAAGCCATCCTCTTCATTGAAATACCAGGTGCCATACCATAGCGTTGCCAACGTTGCACGCAATCCAGGCTCGCAGGTGGGCAGCTCCGCGCCCGGAGTCTGTGAGTCCATGCCTGCAGGTGGACTTTCACACGTCATCAACTCCGATAGTTCCATCACAGGTGTGACCTTGGCTGCCAGCGGGCGAATGTCGCTCCAGGCACTTGCGCCAATGCCAGAAAAGCTGGCATTTGCCCAGGCCAGAATACCAAGGGTTGCCCCCTGCCATGCCAAAAACTTCCAAGGCTGCTCACGAAGGCAGACCAGCAGAATTACCATGGCAATCATGTTCCTGCACTGATAAACATTGCACCAAGCACGAACATCTGTGCATCAAGGATGGATCGAAGATGTTAAGTTTGTTGCGAACACACACACACACACACACGCACCAAAAAGAAAGATCCCAAGTTAAAGGCCCATGCTCCATGCCAGGCATACCCTGCCAATCGGCGCTCCAACCAGATTGGTGATGCCTCGAAACCTGACCCGGACATCTCTGCAGCTGGCCAGCTCCACAAGAATTGCTCGCAAATGTGCGACCAACGAAACCATTATCAGCAACTCCTCGGCAAAATGCGAAGCTGCGTTTGCAGAACGTAGACGTTTGATTTTCTGCACGACTCGATAGCAAGGCTCACACCCTCTCGCTTACTCTTCGTTTGATACTACCCGGAATAAGGAGCTTCCAACTGAGCTGCCGTGTTCACCGTGATGACCAGAAAGCAAGCTGCGAGCGGCAGGCCGGCTTCCTCACCTTCAGTGGGTCCGGAGGCCCTGAAAGGCTACACAAAGCATGTTTGGTAGTGCAAGACAGAGTAAACCAGGGCAGGAAAAACTGGGTCGAGTTATCTTGAAGCCGAAACCTTCCGTGAACCTACGAATAAGATCTTTGGTCAGAATCAACAACAGTCGCCTGCTAGCAGCCACTTCACAGCTAGCAGGCCAGAGGCCACCACGGTCCCGACCTGTAGGGTCGCTTTCTGATGCGCTGAGAAGGTTCCTTGTGACGCTTTGCGCAAAACAGAAATGCCAAAGTCTACTTTGCAATCTTAGAGCCCGGATGTATCCTACCCTCGCTGGCGCCTGAAGCAACGGGTTGGCAAGTGCGATGACAAAAAAGGCGGGTCGTGGAATGACAGCGGCCCTGGGCGATGCATCACCTTCTCCCACGCTACCTCAGCAGAAGCTGACTAGGTATGCCGCAAGTGTGAGGCAGCCACGCCATGCAGCTGTGTCACACAAGATCACTATCATGGAATCGATCTCCCCAAAGTTTGAGGCCAAGACCGTGGGGGCTCGCTCTCAGGCTTCTCGAAACGATTGCGACAGCTCGGAAGCTGAGACAGATGATCGCCGTGCCAAGCATGGCCATCAGAACCTGACACAGCAGCAAAGAAAGCTGCCTAAGGAGTCTAAGCGAGTCCGAGATGGACGCTGGGGACACTGCTGCATGCAGCACTGCTCTTTGTGGCAGCACTACTACTTTGAAGGACTCGGCTCATCACATCGCCATCATACCTTCAATACTTTCACTTACTACAGCTGGCAGGCCGCAATTTGTTTCAGTGCATTGCCTGAGCCCCAATATGATTAGAAATGTATGCGCGCGACTGGGCAGCATCGGGCAGCTACAGACCAAATCAATGCCTGATCGGGTTGCATGCTGGTGCACCTATATGGAACAGCGTCCTTGTGCACTATGCCTAGCGAGTCTAGCAGTCGGTGAGTCGGTGCTGTCTTCACACATTGCAGTCTCAAGAGAAAGGAGCAAGAGTACCAGAGCTGGAGAGGGAAAAGCGGCGGGAAGCAGGAGCAGTTGAAAAGATAAACTTTCAGGCAGAATCAATGACAAAGGCCACACGGCACCTCCTCGCTCGAGACCATCCACTGTGGTGACCCTGATCCTGGACAGGCCAAAGTAAACTTTCTGCTGTGGCTGATCGGATTGCAGACTCGACTTTTGGGGATTTCATGTCAATGTAGCGAGGCTAAGCTGAGCCGAAGGTCTGCGGCGACGGCAATCACGCAAGCCAAACTGGTTCATCCAGACTGCACTCTCTAAATTGAAGGGTCCAGCTTAAGTTTGTTCAGCACTCCCCAACCCTTCTCCTGGCTTGGCTGTGTTCGGCGCTGCTGCCGGCGCCAAAATTGCCAATGACGGGCGTGCCATGACCCTGCGAAGCCCAGGCCTTCTTTGGGCCTAGGGCTCAAGAGCTGGAGTCTGGGGCTCCGGTGGCAGCTTGGTTGAAGCACGTAGCTGGGCATGCAGGGCTCGCTGTTGCGGCTGTGGAACTAACAGTCTAGCGGCCCAACCCTCATCAGCGATAATTCATTTCGCGGCTCAGGGCCATCAAGTCCAGGAAAGCTTGGCATGTGTTGCGAGCCTTTGAATCACGAATTCTGAAGTCAACGCGACATGCAGCAAGGATGCCGATAGTGTTACTTACGGCCAAGACAGACGACGAATGGCTGCTAAGTTCCTGTTGAGAGCCGCGAAGTTGAGAGCGGCGAGCAAAAGTGTATGCAAAGTCCATGTGAAAAGGAAGGCTCACACAAGCGTACACAATGAAACTTAATGCCAGGGAATACCTGTCAATTCCATCTCAGCTCAATCGATGCGTGTACTTGCGGCCGCCGACTAAAAACCTGAGGACTGCATATACATGTACAAACATATATATAAATACATATACACATACATATACATGTACATGTACATGTACCTGTTCTATATATCCGCCGACCCCGCTGGG